AAGTGACCTGAAGGCGCATGCAGGAGGCCCGAGGGCCCCACACCTCAAACCACTGGAGGTTTAGGGTTTAGGGTTTATGGTTTAGGGTTTCATCGCACTGTAATTTGATGTCAATTGGCTGCTAGAAGAACCCCAGAGAGCGGACTAGGGTTTAGGGTTTAGGGTTTAGGGTTTGAGTGTATGCTGCGCAGGGTTTAGGGTTTATTACCCAGCGGTGTTTGGGGCTTCTTCTTCTTCTATGAACTCTAAACCCTAAACCCTAAACCCTAAACCCTAGCCACTGAAAAAGAGTATGTGGCGCTCAGCCCTTGCATCTTTTGCCTAAGATGCAGGCATTAGGGTTTAGGGTTTAGGGTTTAGGGTTTGGCGATGGCCTTCGACTTGAAGGTTGAGTGGGAGGGGCCTGAGCAGTATCAGGCTCTTGTCTCTCGTGCTGCTGCTCTGGGTTTTGCTGCTGTTGCTGCTAATGTGTACATACACCTGCCGCCTCCGCGGCAGCAGCAGCAAGCAGCAGCAGCAACAGCAGCAGCAGCAGCAGCAGCAGCACTAGCAAAGGCTGTGAAGCAAGGGCTGCCTTTTCAGCACCCTCTCGCTGTCCCTGCGCCTCTCCGCTCTTCACCCCTACCAGCAGCAGCACCAGTTGCTGCTGCTGCTCCTGCTGCTGCTGCTGCAGAATCGCAGCAGCAACTGCTGCAGTGGCTGCCGGACACAGTGCCTGCTTTGTATTCCCATACCACTCAGCAGCAGCAGCAGCAGCAGCAGCAGCAGCAGTTAGCTCGCGGTTGCGGCCCTCTGAGCAAGAGACAGTGGGTAGATGTCTTTCCCTATGCTGCAGCAGCAACAGCAGCAGTGCAGCAGCAAGCAGCAGCAGCAGCAGCATGCGAGATTCTGCAGCTGAGACGGGTGACGGTAGTATTGAGTTGTACATCTGCTGCTGCTAGCTTCAGCACTCTCTTCCCTAGAGGCCCTCCCTTCTACCCCGCAGCAGCAGCAGCAGCAACAGCAGCAGCAGCAGGCACACCAGCAGCAGCAGCAGCAGAGCGGCGAGGCGCATGCATTGAGCTTCTTGCTGTGCAGCCAACCGATGAAGAGACCTGGTTGTTTGCCTGCAGCAGCTGCGAGTGTGATATCATCTCCATAGACTTTGCTGCTGCTGCTGCTGCTGCTGCTACGGGCGCTGCTGCTACAGGTGCTGCAGCAGCAGGTCTACCCTTCACCATACGCAGACGGCATGTGCTGCAGGCAGCAAGGAGAGGCGTCTTCTTTGAGGTGTCTCTGTCAGATCTGCTGCAGCCGCAGCAGAAGCGAGGTGCAGCAGCAGTAGCAGCAGCAGCAGCAGCAGCAGAGGAGGAGAGCAGCAGCAGCAGCCAGGCCCTTGCAAACCTGCAACGGCTGCTGCGGTTCGTGCCACCTAAACAGCTGCTGCTGTCTTCCGGTGCAGCAAGGCCGCAGCAGCTGCTGACTCCTCCTGCTGCTGCTGCTGTTGCTGCAGCACTAGGCATCTGCAGCAACCATAAAGCAGCAGCAGCTAATTGCAGCGCAGCAGCAGCAGCAGCCCTTGGTCGCGGTGCTGCTTCTCACGCCCCCGGTGGTGCTGTCACTCAAGGCTGGCCTACTGCTGCAGCAGCAGCAGCAGCAGCAGCAACTGCAGCAGCAGACAGCAGCCTTGCTGCTGCTGCTATGGCTGGGAATATGCCTCCGTCTATTGTGCAGCAGCTGCAGGCCCTGCGTCAGCTGCTGCTGCAGCAGCAGCAGCACTAAAACCAAGTCAGCAGCAGCAAAAACTCTGCGCAACAGCAGCATCAGCAACACCTGAATCTCTACCCTAAGCTGCTGCTGCTGCTGCTCTGACTATTGCTGCTGCTGCTATTGCTGCAGCAAAGACGAACAACGAAAGCCTGGAACCGAGCAAAGTTATTAATGCTGCATACTGCTTCACCCCGTGGGGTGTTGCTGGCTGCTGCTGTTGCTGCTGTTGCTGTTGCTGCTGCGGCACCAGCAACAGCAGCACAGCAGCAGCAACTCTCTGCAGTGGGCGCTGCCTTTCCCTTAGAAGTGGAGGAAGCAAACAAGCACTCTGCAGCAGCAGCTGCTGCAGCACAACACTGCAGCAGCAGCAGCAGCTGCTGCTGCTGCTTATTGCTGTCAGTGAACCTGCTGCTTCTGGGGTGCTTCGCTTTTGCTGCTTGCATGCAGCAGCAGCAAAGCCCCAAGAGGCACTGCTGCAGTAATGAGAGGAGGCGACCAGACGCAGAAGCAAAGAGAAGAAAACAGGTGCAGCAGCAGCAGCAGACATACGCTAGGCACCACCATGCTGCAGCAGCAACAGCAGCAGCAGCAGCAGCAGCAGCAACAGCAGCAGCAGCACAAAAACAAAATCGTTAGCATACAAAACGATGAACACCCCCAAAGAGCAAACGCCGGGTGCGCGGGTGTTTAGGGTTTAGGGTTTAGGGTTTGGAACTGCTTGGGTTTAAGGTTTAAAGTGTGCAGACAGGACTTACGGCTAGGGTTTAGGGTTTAGGGTTAAAGCTAGGGTTTAGGGTTTAGATTTTTAGTAGGGTTTAGGGCTAATTGTAAGGGTTTAGGGTATCAACTTAGGGTTGAGAGTTTATGATTAGGGTTTACAGTTATGGTTTAGGGCTAAAGATTAGGGTTTAGGGTTTAGAGTTAGGGTTTAGGGTTTAGGGTTTACTTGATGTCAGTAATAAGGTAAAATACATCATTAGAAGGCAGAACTTTCCTCTGATACAAACAGCACCCAGCAAACCGCTGCTGAGGGTTTAGGGTTTAGGGTTTAGGGTTTGAGGTCTACAGCTGCGGTGGAGGCGTACCAGCAGCAGCAGCAACAGCAAAACCGACAGCAGCACCACGAGCAGCAGAAGCACGAGCAGCAGAAGCAGCAGCAGCAGAAGCAGCAGCAGAAGCAACCGCAGCAGAAGCAGCAGAAGCTGCTGCAGCAAACCCCTCCCTTACCTTGGTTCCTACAGAGCTGTGCGTAGCCTTTGCGCTGCTGTCATCAGCAGCATCTGCAGCAGCGTGCTGCTGCTGTTGTTGCTGCTGCTGCTGCTGCTGCTGCTGCTGCTGCTCTTCTGCTGCTGCGCGAACCACGGAGTACCCCGGTAAATTTTTAAGGGCTTCGAAGGCCCCCTCAGTTGGCACTGAGACATAAACTGTCTCCCTAAACCACCGCATACACCCCAAACCCTAAACCCTAAACCCTAAACCCTAAACCCTAAACACCCGCGCACGCAGATGCCCTTCACTCTGCAGCTGCAGGAGCAACTGAAAAAGCAGCAGCAGCACCAACAGCAGTAACAACAGCAGCAACAACAACAGCAATAGCAACAGCAACAGCTGCAACAAACCCTGCAGCTGAAGCAAGAGCAGCAGCTGCACTCATAGCAGCAACTGCAGCAGCAAGAGCAGAACCTGCAGCAAAAGCAGCAGCAGCAACAGCAGCAGCAACAGCAACAGCAGCAGCAACAGCAGCAGCAGCAACAGCAGCAGCAACAGCAGCAACGGCAGCAACAGCAGCAGCAACAGCAACAGCAGCAACAGCAACAGCAGCAGAAAGCCTACGAATCCTCATCGTGCTGCAGTACGTGCACATCAAGAGGCAAGACCAGATCCTTAAACTCCTCTAAACCCTTTGCAGGGACAGGCCGAACAATTGCACGTATTGGCGCCATCTTGCTGCTGCTGCTGCTGCTGCTGCAGTTGCTGTTGCTGCTGCTGCTGCTGCTGCTGCACCGCTGCTGCACCGCTGCTGCTGCGCCCGGTTCCACTGGTGAACGACTGAAGGCGACAGCTACACAGAAGCAACACACACAACAACCAAGCTGACCTTGTTGCTGCTGCTACAGCAATTCTGCTGCTGCTGCAGTGCTGCTGCAGTGCTGCTGCAGCGCTGCCGCTGCTACTGCTGCTGCTGTTGCTGCTGCTGTTGCTGCTGATCTCGCTGCTTCAGCGTCCGAGCCAGGAGACAACGCAGCAATAGCTAGAAGGCAAGATATATATGCAGAAAGACGGGGGCAGCAGCACCGGGTGTCTGTGTACCTGCTTAAACCCTAAACCCTAAACCCTAAACCCTCAATTGCTGGCGTGGGGCGGTGTAGAGTGAGTAAAACCTCGCTGAAGTGTACATACAGCGTCGTCTGGTTAGAAGAATAAATAGAAAAGAACTAGGACAGCCTCAGTATAAACCCTAAACCCTCATAAACCCTAAACCCTAAACCCTAAACCCTTACGCTGCCGGTAGCGCTCCGACGCCCCCTGGCTGTCCTGTGTGTGCTGCTGTAAGACTTACTCTTCTTTTGCTGTTTTCTTTGTTTTATAATTTGTTTAATTAATATTAAATTAATAAACAAAAAAATAAACAAAAATAACTCAAACACAATGCAGGCGCCGCAAGGCTAAGCGAGAATACAGCTCGTCTTCTACTAAACCCTAAACCCTAAACCCTAAACCCTAAACCCTAAACCCTAGTTCATTCACTTCAACTCAAACCCTTAGTTGTTTGTCTGCCTCTTCCTTACACAGCAGCGTATCTGGGCTTTTTCGACATAGCCTCCCCCTTCACATTCTAGGGTTTAGGGTTTAGGGTTTAGGGTTTATGGTTTAGGGTTTAGGGTTTCTGAGGGTTTAAGGTCCACAAACCTCTGCAAGGGTCTTGGGAGACGAGCTTAGATCGGAGAAGGAGACAAACAAACAAATAAACGTAGTTGAGGCCCTCTAAAAGAAAACTATTTAGTGTTTAAAAGACAGCGACAAAGAGAGATAGAAATGTGAAGAAGTATAGACAGCAGAGAGAAACAGATAAATAATTAAAAGATGTGCAAATACGTTGAAGGACTCTCAAGGCTGTAGCTAGCTGCTGCCAGCTATAGCTAGCTGCAGCTAGCTGCAGCTAGCTGCTGCTGTTTAGCTGGGGCTAGCTATAGCTAGCTGCAGCTACCACCAGCAACACCTAGCCGCAGCTAGCTCCAGCAACAGCTAGCTGCAGCTAGCACTATCAACACATAGCTGCAGCTAGCTGCAGCTAGCTACAGCTAGCTACAGCTAGCTGTAGCTCCAGGGCGTAAGTGCTGATAAGTTTCTTGTAGAGTAATTGCATGCATTAGAATGGGGCTGCACGGGGATATTCACAATGCATGCTTTTTGCTGCTTTTCGTGCATGCGTTAAGATGCAGTTAATTAATAATAATTAATTAATAAACATCTGCTCAGCCTTAACTTAGTATAGACAATCTGAGCACCCATATCAATGTGCATGCATGCGAAGCAGCAGCAGGCGGAGCTACACCAAGACTGCTCTCTCTGCTTCAGCAGCAAACACCTTCTTTTGTTGTTTAACGAATTAACAAGCAAAATGCAGATAACAAACAGCAAACAACGAAGGGGGTCTCTACCCACTCTCTTAGTTCTTAATAATTAATTCTTCTTAGAAACACCTTTCTCTCTCTCTCTCTCTCTCTCTCTCTCTCTCTCTCTATATATATATATATATATATATATACATATATATATATGTATATTATATATATATGTATCTATAGAACATACATATATAAATATATATATATATGTATATATGTATATACATACATAGACGTATATATGCATATATACATAGAAATATACATATGTAAATAGAAATATATATATAAAGAAATATATATATATAAAGAAATATATATATATATATATATAAAGAAATATATATATGCATATATATATATATATATATATGTTGTCTGCCTCTTGGCTTAAGTGGTGATGTGTGCAGGCGTTGAGAGGAAGGTCTTCGGTGACGCATTAAATTGCATTTTAATCTTCATTAAATAGGTTAAACAGATTATTTATAAAGAAAGTTTATTTAGTTGATGAAGAGTGCTGAGTCTAATGAGCATTTGTGCTAGGCTTTCTCTTCTTGTGTTTATTTTGTCTCCATCACAAACAAAGAGACAGCTCTGCTTTCAGACAGAAGATTAGTGCTGCCTCTGGTAGGTTAGATTGCTGCTGCTGCTACTGCTGCTGCTGCTGCTGCTGCTGCTGCTGCTGCCGGTCTCCCACACTGCGGGGGAGGCCTGCAGCAGCAGCAGCAGCAGGAGCAGCAGCAGCAGCAGGAGCAGCAGCAGCTTCTTCTGCAGCCGCAGAAAGATTAATAATAGATGCAGCAGCAGCAGCAGCAGCAGCAGCGCAGCAGCAATATAAGTAGCGATAACAGTGGCAGCATGGATAGTAACAATATGATTAGCAGCAGCAGCAAGGCAAGCACCAGCAGCAACTAAAGCTTTCTCAGCTGCTGCAGAAGCAGAAACTCCTACAGCAAGAGACATAAACTAGCAGCAGCAGATGCATTATGAATAAGTCTTGCAGCAGCAAAACAGACGTGCTGCAGCAGCAGCAAGTGCTGCAGTAGCACTGCAGCATGCCTCCTGCAGAACTGCGTGTCTGAAGTTTATATTTATATTTTTAGTTGTAGCGAACAACTGCATGCATTTATTAATGCATGCATCAAAATAATGCTGCGGTGTACATGCACTTGTTCTTACTTTAAAAAGGAGATGCAGCAAGACATGCTGCTGCTGCAGTTTATAACAAAAGAGATAATCTCTCCGCTGCAGCCCCAGACATATCTATTAATATTATCTTTTATAATAATCCTTCTACTTCTACTAACTCTTATGAGGGCCCTCTAATAACAATATATACTTGTTTATTTTTCTTAAGGAAGCCTCTTAAAGAGAGAGAGACTTGTGTGCAGTATTAATTTATTAAAAAGTTTTTCTTTAGTATAGCTGTCTATAAGGCTGTCTATTTGCATGCAGCAGAGCCCATGAGAATGTATAAGTACAAATCTTATCCCTCTAATTAAGCCTATATTTAATATAATATATTTTATTATATTTATCATTTAAAAAATTTTTTAGTAGCAGAACCCACCCAGCTGTACGTACAGCAGAGTTTGCAGAGGTTTGGCCGTTTAAAAGCTTTTTGTTAGCGACAATATAAAAAAGTCTGCATTGTTTGAATTTAATTTAATGTTTTAAATTGAAATTTAAAGTTTATTCAGCAGCAAAAGAATTATGCTGCTGCTGCTAGCTGCATGCAGGGCTGCCTCTGTACAGAGAAGGCGTCGGCGCTAGCCGTTGACAACCTGAGGTGTATATCTTCATTTTTTATTTGATTATAATTATATAATAGAATTCTATTTGCAGTTTGAACTTGTTTTGTTCTTTTCTTTTGCTGCTAGAGACATTTTCCTCCTGTGCTGCAGCAGCAGCAGCCCGCCGTACACTCGGCTTGCTGCTGCTTCTTCCTGACTGCTGACCACTGGTCACCTTCGCCTTGACCATCACTGCATGCGTCGCTTGTGGGGCTTCTAACACCTCTTTGAGCAGCTGTCTGCTGCAGCTGCAGCAGCTGCAGCTCCTCCTGCTGCTGCCGCCGCTGCAGCTGCTGTTCCTGCTGCTGCAGCAGCTACTGCCGCTGCTGCTGCCGCTCCCGCTGCTGCTGCTGCTGCTGCTGCTGCTGCTAATTGTGAGAAGATGGATTCTGGAGATGAAATGGAGAGAGGCCCCCCTTCTGCAGCACTGCGTCGCTGCCAGTCTGGGCGCAGCGGATTGCTGCTCGATGATGACTTGCTGCAGCTGGGTGGCAGCATGCAGCAGCAAGAAGAAGAAGAAACCCGCACTGTCTTGCCTATCAGCAAGAAGCTCTTAGCAGGCGTTGATTCTGATGGAAGCGAAGTGCCTATAGACGCAAAGGCAGTAGAGGAGACCCTCGATATGTATTCTGTACTTATTGAATAGTATGTGCAGACACTCCTGCTGCTGTTGTTGCTGCTGCTGTTGCTCTTGCTGCTGTTGCTCTTGCTGCTGTTGCTTCTGCTGTTTCTGATGTTTCTGATGCTGTGGCTCTTGCTGGTATTGATTAAATAGTATGCGGAAACACTCCTGCTGCTCCTGTTGCTATTGCTGCTGCTGTTGCTTCTGCTGTTTCTGGTGTTGCTGCTGCTGTTGCTCTTGCCGGTATTGCTGCTGCTGCTGGCGCTTCTGATGTTGTTGCAGCTGCTGTTGCTGCTGCTGTTGTTGGTGTTGCTTTCCCTGGTAGTGTTGCTGCTGCTGTTGCTGCCGCTGCCCGTTTCTGCTGCTGCTCCTGATGTTTCTGTTGCTGCCGTTGCTGCTGCTGCTGCTGCTGCTGCCCTGCTGCTCTTGCCTGCGCGCGGATGTGTGCATCTATCTTCTAAACAGCATTAAGATGAAAGACAGATTAAAACTTATTTTTCTTTATTTGCTGCTGCAGCGCCAAGATGCCACCCTTTGCTCCAGACGGTATTTACTGCATGCCCACTTGGAATGACGTCAGAAGTAAGCATTAAGCCTGCAGCAGCAGCAGCAGCAGCAGCAGCAGCATAAGCTGCAGCAGCAGCAGCAGCATAAGCTGTAGCAATAGCAGCAGCAGCATAAGCTGCAGCAACAACAGCAGTAGCACAAGCTGCAGCAACTGTAGCATAAGCTTCCACAGAAACAGCACAAGCTGCAGCAGCAGTAGCATAAGCAGCAGCAGCAGAAACAGCACAAGCTGCAGCAGCACAAGCATAAGCTGCAGCAGCAGCCTTAGCAGCTGGTGCAGAGCAGCAGCAACAGCAGCAGTTTGCTTCTTACCTGTTTGAGATCTTCTTCATTTGCGTATGTTTGTGCTTTTGTTTGTTTTGCTGCAGCATGGGATGGCGTTGCCTTTCTGAGGCATGGAGTTTATCAAGGAGGTCTATTTAAATTTAGAATTGGGATTCCTAAGGCATATCCAAACATAGCACCGAAACTTACTTTTCTCTCGCGTGTTTTTCACCCGCTTGTAGATGAAGAGACTGGCGAACTCTGCATTAAAGTCAGCAGGAAAACAAATAAACAAATAAATAAAATAAATAAATAAATAAATAAATAACAGTAAATATATCTTTTTCTTTTTTGTTAGTAGTTCCGCATGCAGGTAGAGGCATACTGCATCTGCGTTTTACGTTGTTGTTTAAATATGTAGAGGATAAAGGAAAGAAAATATTAAAATTAGTTATAAGCATTCTTATATCGTGTTTAATTTTATTCTTGTCGGGTTTCTACAGAGAAAATAATTCATCTTAGGGTTTGTTGAATTCTTTTGTTTTGTTTGTTTTGTTTGTTTTGTTTGTTGGTGCAGGCGTATTTCAAAGAATGGAACAGCGAAAGAGATTATATTCCTATGTTATTGTTGTATTTAAAGACGATATTCCTCTCTAAAGATTTACTAAGAGGAACTGCAGATGAAAAAAACTGGAAAAACAAACGCGCAGCTCAGCTGTACGTACACCTGAATGAACAACGGATAGAAAGCAGTGGAAACCTGCATTAATTTACTTTTTATTTTTAATTTGATCAATTGTTTTCGTTTATTTTGTTGTTTTTCTGCATGCATGCATGTTTATTTCCCTGTTTCCCCCTCAGTTTCCACTTTTTTCCAGCAGCAGATTTCCGTCGTTTTTTGTGTTTTCCTTCTGCAGTTTTCGTGAAGATAAGGCGACTTTGCTGAAAGAAATTCGTAAATGCGTGAAGGAGTCTCAGGAGAAGAGTTTGACGCCAGTAGAGCAGCAGCAAGCATTAGCAGCTGCTGCACCTGCAGCAGAGCGCGAGCCCCCAACAGCTGCTGCTGCAGTATTGCATGAGGATGCCTCCGACTTTGTTTTTAATTTCCGAGAGTTTCACCGGCAGCAGAAACCCCTGCTGCATGCAATTACTCTGTTAGCTTCCGATGAAACCTGTGCAGATCCAACTCAGGCGTTTGTTGAGTGGTTTGCTGATGATTGGAGCAAGGCAGAGTTTGAAAGGGAAGAGAATAAACCCCCGTAATTATTATTATTATTATTAAACTCTAAACTTATTCTTTTATTGAACTCTTTTCTTCATTTCTCCTCGTATTTCTATTCAAGCGGAATACACACGAACACAGCCAGTCTACACCCACAAGTGAGAGCTATATACAAAAATAAAAAAATAGTCGCGGGCATACTTTATACTCTAGTTGCTGCAGAAGCTATTTGCTGCAGTTGCTGCAGCAGCTATCTGCAGTTATCTGCAGATATTTGCTGCAATTGCTGCAGCAGCTATCTGCAGCTGTCTGCTGCAGTTACTGCAGCAGAACATCAAGGCGATGCCTTCATTGCCGCCTTAAGACAGCTACACGCAAACGGAGTCGTACACTCAAGCGAGGCGGTGCATGCAAAATATTGCAACCACTGCGTGAGCAGCAGCAGCAGCAGCAGCAGCAGCAAGTGATGCTGCAACAGCTGCTGCAAACAGCTGCTCGTACAAAGAATAGTTTCTCTGTTAGCGACACATGCATGCACCCACATGCAGCATCTGCTGCTGCAATAAGTTGAACTTCAGCTGCTGCTGTAGCAGTTGCACTTCCGGAACTGCTGCAGCAGCAGGAGGAGTTGCAGCAGCAGGAGTTGCTGCAGCAGGAGGAGTTGCTGCAGCAGGAGGAGTTGCAGCAGCAGCAGGAGTTGAAGCTACAGCATGTTTTGCAAGAGCATTTTGAGCAGCAGCATGTGTAGCAGCAGCATAATGGACTTAATGCGAAGTATGCGGCGGCTCAAGCTTAGCTCTTTGAACAGAAAGAGGGTTCCCTCCGTTGAGGATAAGTTTATAGTTTTGAGCCTTAAGACCCTCGAAGCAGATCTTTTTACACTCTAAGTCCAACCATCTGCATTCTTTACACCTTTCTTTAGGAGATATAAAGAAGAGGCGACCGTGCCACGTAAAGTCTTTCTTGCGACCGTCAAGCCCAGGGAAATCTGCATAGAAAGGTACGGGGGGCTTAACAGCCCCATGTGCATGCGCTTTATATGTAAGATAAAGAGAAATAAAGAAAAATAAATATGCATGCAAACCTACAAACATTAACATCTTTCTTTCATACTCTGTTATCAGAGGAGTACATAAACGGCTATAAGAATCTAAGTCTAACAACCAAGACCGCCTACAGTGCCATCGTGTAAGAAACCCGCTTATATCAAGCCAGCGATAGATAAAATCTCCTATACGATCTATGTTGCTGCTGCCTTGCTGCTGCAGCTGCTGCTGTGGATGCTGCAGTTGCTGCTGCTGCACAGAAAGAGGCGAAGGCCGCTCCTGCTGCTGCATTAAAGCCCCAAAACGAGCTGATGTTATACTACTATCCGTAGGATGCAATAACAACGGTGAACGACGCAGCAGCAAACTGCTGCTGCTGCTGCTGCTGCTGCTGCTGATGCTGCTGCTGATGCTGCTGCGCGCCGATGCTGCTGCTGCGCAGCCACGGGCACCCAACGCCCACCCCAGCATTCTCCTTTACTTTATTTGCTGCAAAAGAGAGGAAATATCAGATAGGGATCCGTGCTGCTGCGCGATAAGCTGCTGCAGGGCGTCGCAGCCGCTGCTGCTGCTGCTGTGGAGGGTTTATGCTGCTGCAGCGCAGCAGACGTCTCCCAGGAGAAGAAAAAGAATAATTAAGACTCAATTACACCTCAAATAAAATATAAAAAGAAGCTCAACAGGAAACGCTGACGAAATATTGACAAGCAGCGCAGCCAGAAGCAGCAGCAGCCCTAGAAAGCCCCAAATACGTTTGTCTGCTGCTGCTGGCGGGGCGAGGCCCTGAGCAGCGCAGCAGCAGCAGCAAGAACTGCAGGAGGAGCAGCATGAGGGTAGCAACTAGATCTATCCCTCTTGTTTTCTTGTGTTGTTCTTGTCTCTAATGACAGCAGCAGGAGCTGTCAAAGCCACCGCTTGCTGCTGCTGCTGCTGCTGCTGCTGCTGCTGCTGCGCCGCCTTCCCCTTCACGGCCGACGCACCAACTTGAATCTCTCCCGTCTTTTCCTTTTTATTGTTTTGTTTTAAATAAACATATCGCAAGAAGAGCCTACTCCTAAAGCCCTTTCTACCGGCTCTCGTGGAGATCCTGCAGCAGCACTTGCACTGCTGGCCCGTGCTGCTGCTGCTGCTGCTGCAGCTGCTGCTGCAGCAAACCGGTGCTGTCCAGCTGGGTCTGCATGCACTCTGAAGACGACAACCCCCCCGGAAGTACTGCAGCACAGGGAGGCCTTGCGCAGCAGCACTGCAGCAATCCTTTCTGTGTGTTCACCTGCCGCAGCATCGATACAACCCCGCAGCATTAACTCCAGCAGCAGCAGCAGCAGAAGCAGCAGCAGCAGGAGCAGCAGCATAAAGATGGATCAGCACTGGCGCCCCGCGCCGGATTGTGACGGCGACAGAAGGAGACAGAGGATGGTCCCCTACGATGCTGCTGCTGCAGCAGCAGCAGCAGCAACAGCAAACAGCGCGATTCCTGCTGCAGGGCAAGGAGGTCTCTGGTCTGATCGCAGAAACAGCAGCAACAGCAAAACGCAAGGCGACGCCCCTTGGTGGGTGCAGCAGCAAATAGCAAGAGAAAACCGTCCTTCCCGAGTAGTTCAGTGCTCTAGCCGCAGCAGCGGCTTTGCAAGGCAGCAGCAGTATGAGCCGCAGCAGCAGCAAGTCCACCACAACCAGCAGCAGCAGCAGCACAGCCAGCAACAGCAACAGCATCACTACCCGCCGCAACACCAGCAACACCACTACCAGCAGCAGCAGCATTACTACCAGCAGCAGCAGGAGCGGCAGCCCTACCTGCCGCCCCACGAGCAGCAGCAGCTGCAGCAGCAGCAGCAACAGGGTTATCAAGAAACCTCGAGATATGATGAAGGCAGGCTTAGCAGCAGACGACGCTACGACCGCCCTCATTACAGCAGCACAAGCCGCAGCCGCAGCCGCAGTCGCAGTCGCAGCCCCTTCTGGAGGGAAACAGCAGCAGGAGACAGCAGCAGCAGCAGCAGCGTCAGGCTTGGGCGTGCTGTAAGAGCTCGCTCTGGAGCAGCAGCAGGCGAAAGAGAAGGACATCCCTATGACTACCGTCAGCCCCCACACCAGCGGCAGCAGCAGCAGCAGCAGCAGCAGCAGCACCCGCAGCAGCGGCAGCAGCGGTATCAGCGATACCGCAGCAGCAGCAGCGAAGCAGCTTCAGTGAAGCAGCAGCAAATGCCGTATAACCGAGCGAGAAGCAAAGAGGAAGGCATCAGGGTAGGTGAGCGCTCGGGTGCTGCAGGAGAGCAGCAGCAGCAGCAGTATCATTACAACCAGCAGCAGCAGCAGCAGCAGCAGCCATATGGAAGGCCTCCATATCGTCCGGGCAGAGGAGTAGGGCGTGTAGACGAGGAAGCAGGAAGGAGTGGCACTGCCGGAGGGTTTGCTGCTGCTGCTGCTGCTGCTGCTGCTGCTGATGGACGCAGCAGCAGAAAGGACTACTGGGAAGGATCGCCAGGGCGGTACGCAGATGAAGATCGCATGCAGCGCCGATATCGTTCTGCTGCTGCTGCAGCAGCAGCAGCAGCAGATTACGGTAGACGGGGAGCAGACGCAGACCCAGCAGCAGCAGCAGCAGCAGCAGCAGAGAGACGCAGCAGATTGTCTCCTGCTCGTTTATCACCACGTCATCCGGCGTTGCATGCAGGGCTGCGCTCCTCTCAGCCGCATGCACATTCGCCTCAGCCGCCGCCTCCTCCTCCCCCACAGCAGCAGCAGCAGCAACAACAGCAGCAGCAACAGCAGCAGCAGCAGCAGCAGCAGCAAGAGGAGCGTAAAGGAGGGATAAGACGCCGATGGAAGCACCCCGATAGCTGCTTACCCTGCGTCTGGTTCTTCTGTCATTATGAAGGCTGCAGCAGAGGATCCTCGTGTCCTAGATGTCATAACGAAGATCATAGAGATATTGCGTCTCCTCTACACCCTTTTGTGCTGCTGCATGAGAGAGGCCGCTGCATGCCCTGTCATAGGTTTACTAGCAGCGGGGCTTGCAGACAATATGCATGCGTCTTCTGCCATCATCCTTCTCATCACGAACCCTCTAACTTAGATTCTGCTAATGAAGAAGAGTTAAAGCAGCAGCAGCAGCAGCTCGAACAGCTGCTGCAGCAGCAGCTCAAGGCAGCCCCTAGACAAAAACTCTCACAAGATGCTGCAGCACATGATAGAGGGGTTTGTATCCCTTGTGCTGACTTCTTTTCTTCGCCTCATGGATGTAAAGGTGCAGCAGCAGAAGGCGGCAACAACAGCAGCAGCAACAGCAACAGCAGCAGCAGCAGCAGCAGCAACAAATGCCTCAATTGCCACCACCCATCGCATGCAAACCCTCACTTTGCTTCTCATCCTTCGGTGCTGCTGCACTTGAAACGCTGCTGCAAGCCCTGCGAGCTGTATATACAGGGGCAGTGTACGAAGGAGCCGTCTCTATGTCCTCAGTGTCATCACCCTAGTCATAAGCAAGAGGAGCAGCAGGAGGAGGAGCAGCAGCAAGAGCAGCAGCAGCAAGAGCAGCAGCAGCAGCAGCAAGAAGATGACACACCAGATGAAGAGAAGAGGCAGCACGAGTTTATGATGCTTCAGCAGCAAGAACAAGAAGACATGCAGCAGCAAGATATTGATGAGTGGGAGGAGGATGAAGACGAGAGAAGAGGCGGCGCTCTCTCCCCTCCCTATACACCCCAGCAGCACGAAGACGAGCAGCAGCAGCAGCAGCAGCAGCAGCAAGAGCAAGAGCAACAACAACTGAAAATGCAGCAGCAGCAGCAGAACCAATGCATAGACGAAAAACAGCAGCAGCAGCAGCAGCAGCAGCAGCAGCGCATGTCTGAGGAGGGCTCATTTGTTGAGCATACACCCGAATGCATGCAGCAGCAAGAAGCAAAGGTCAAGGACTGTTCATCGCAGGAAATTGTGCATGAAGAGGAGCAGCAGCAGCAGCAGCAACAGCAGCAACAAGGGAAGGACAAGCAGCAGATGCTGCAGCCTCATCAGCAGGTAGCGCTGCAGCAGTAACAGCCGGTGCAGCAGCAAGCGCATGCAGCTGCTGCTGCTATTATGCTTATTGTTCCCCCTCACAAGCGATGTAATAATGCTTCTGTTCCTCAGCAGCAGCTCCAGCTGCTGCTTCTGCTGCTGCAGCAGTCTGAACCCGGTTTCTGTGTGCAGCAGCTGCTGTTGCTGCAGTGCGGGTGAAGCAGCAGCAGCAGCAGTAGCAGCAACAGCAGCAGTAGCAGCAAGAGCAGCAGCAGCAGCAACAAGAAGCGTTGTGGCACACATGCATCTGTGCCTCCCCACATGTCCATCGTAAACCCTAAACCCTAAACCCTAAACCCTAGGAAGCAGATGCTTTTGAGGGTTTTAAAGGGTCAAGAGGAGATAGCAAAGAGACAGACAAACATTCTTATACATAAACAGCACACACAAACGCTGGGAGCGAGAGAGACGTTCAGAAAATACTTATAGGATATATATATATATATATCTATATATCTATATATATAATATATATAATATATATAATATATATTATATACACAATATATATATATATATATATGTATATATATATATGTTGTATATAATATGAAGAGAGATACAGATAAAGAGATACGCATTGAGAGATATGCATCAAGAGATTTGTCTATGCATATATATATATATATATTTATATATATATATATATATATTTATATATATATTTATATACATAATATATATAGATATATATAGATTATATATATAGATATTTATATAAGCACATATATATATAAGTACGAATTTATAAGAAAAGAAGCCGAGCGAAGCTGTCTCTGTTAAAGGAGACGAAGAGACAAACAAAATACGAGGCAATACTACCCCGAAAACATAAAATAAAACCTTGTGCACGCAACTGCTGCTGCTGCTGCTGCAGCAGCAGCTGCAGCAGCTGCAGCAGCTGCTGCTGCGTTGTCTTAAGCGACACCTCGCTTGCTGCAACTGCTGCCGCTGTCGCAGAGAGTGCTGCTAGATTTGCTTCTGATGCTGTTATTAACTCCCGATGCTACAGTTGCTGCTGTTGCTGCAGCAACTGCAGCAGCAGCAGCAGCTGAAACAGTTGCTGCTGCTGCTGCTGCTGCACTTCATTCGAGAGCGTATGTCACCCAAACTGCAAGCAAACGCCAGCAGGTGAAGCCCTAAACCCTCAAAACCCGAAGATGCTGCCTCTCCTAATGAAGACGTGCAAGGGTTTAGGGTTTAGGGTTTAGGGTTTAGGGTTTAACTTGCCTGGTCTGTACGTCTTATCTTGAATGTTGCGACTAAAAAATAAAAGAGATAAATTCGTAGGCCCTGCCAGAGGAGAAGGGACCCAAGGCGTCGGCCCTGCAAACCCCAAACCCTAAACCCTAAACCCTAAACCCTAAACCCTAGCCGCTAAACCCCTAACCCCTAGCTGCTAAGCCTAAGGCTAGGCGTTCATTCTCATGCGCGGCTTTGGGTGCGCCTGCAGTACTCGGCATTTTAGGGTTTAGGGTTTAGGGTTTAGGGTTTAGGGTTTAGGGTTTGTACCGTCAGCAAGGACCTGCAGCTGCTGCAGTGCAGCAGCAAGAAAAGCAGCAGCAGAGACGAGGCCCCTACCGCAGCCGCAGCCTCGATAGAAGGAGACGCCTGAACAACAGCAAATAAAAATATAAATGTTTGTCGTTTATGATATATAAATATAAATATATATATATATATCTTTGATATATATATAAATATATATTTATATATATAAAGAAATAAATATATATATATATCTTTATTTTCATTTAACTTTATTTTATTTGCTGTTTTGTTGTTTTGTTTTATTTTATTTTTGTTTGGTGTTTGTCGTTTTTAGTTTTATTTATTTTATATATATTTTAACTGTTTTATAGACGCCTCCTCTTTAATCTCTACTTTATTTATTTATTTTATTTTATTTTATTTATTTTATTTATTTTATTTATTTACCTCCAGCAACAACAAAACCGACAAGGGGTCTGCACGCTTGAGGGGTCTTGCCTGGGAACACAGCAGCAGCAGCGGCAGCAGCAGCAGCAGCGGGAGCAGCAGCAACAGCAGCAGCTGGAGCAGGAGAGGCAGCAGCAGCAGCACCGGGAGCAGCAGCAGCAGCAGCTGCTGTGGCTGCATGCAGAGACACAGAAGGCTTCTTCTGTTGTTGCCTTCGCGCTCGGCCTCCTCCTCTCCCTTTATGCTGCTGCTGCTGTTGCTGCTCTTGCTGCTGTTGTTGCTGCTGCTGCAGACGCAGCAAACGGCGTCTGCATGCATGCCTGTGCGGAGGCTCCACCAGCTGCAAGGCTAATCCTCCACCGTTGCTGCTGCTGCTCTTGCTGCTGCTGCTGCTCTTACTGCTGCTGCTGCCGTTGCTGCTGCTGCTGCTGCTGCTGCTGCACTGCAGCAGAGGCATAAGTGCAGGCCTGAGGTGTGGGGCTGAGGAGACACAAGGCAAGGCTTCCTTCGCCGACGGTGTAGCAGGATATGCTGCAGCGCACTCCAAACCCTAAACCCTAAACCCTAAACCCTAAAGTACATATTCCCTTCCCGCTAGAACCTGCAAGCTGGCCGCTAGCTGCACCTTCAGAGACAGCTCATAAACCTCCTGATTAGGGTTTAGGGTTTAGGATTTAGGGTTTAGGGTCTGACCTTGAAAGAAGAGACGGAGGTCAGTCAAGGAGACAGCAAAGAGATGGTTGCGCTCTAAGGGGACTCCTCTGTCGTTGGCTGTCAGGTGTATAGGCAGCAGCGCATGACGCTCTGCTAGATAAGCAGCAGCAGCAACAACTGCAGCAGCAACCCTCTTCCTCTGCTTCCGACCCCAGCCGCCGCTGCTGCTGCTGCTGCTGCTGCTGCTGCTGCTGCTGATGTTGGTCTCCGATGCTGCCTGAGGAGGCAGCAGCAGCTGCTGCAGCGCCCAGAGGAACACCAAAGGCAGCTCATCAGCACAACCCATACTTCTTTCTTTTCGTGCTGCTTGCAGCAGAACCTGCAGCTGCTGCTGCGGCTGCTGCTGCTGCTGCTGCTGCTGCTGTTGCTTTCGGAACTGCTGCAAGAAGAGCGAGAGGCGCAGCAGCTGCACAGGCAGCATGCGTACAGCAGGGGGAGGCAGCAGCAGCTGCGGCAGCTGCTGCAGCAAATCAATCGGAGGCTGCGGCATAGGGGGTACCAGCAGATTTGCTGCTGTCTGCTGCTGCTGATTCGTCTCGCGTCTGTTGGGTTGCTGCGGAGGCAGCAGCAGCGGCAGCAGACGAGGAGGCAGGAAGCAAGAGGGGCCATACAGACGACTCCGCTGCTGCTGCTGCAGCTGCTGCAGCAGCAGCTGCTGCTGCTGCTGCTGTTTGCTTGCTCCTACCGCAACAACAACAGCCTGCTGCAGCAGCAAACTCTCTTCTGCTGTCTCTTCACTTCGCTGCGGTCTGTCTCCTTTCTGCAGCACTGCTGCTCTCTCACCTTGATCTTGCTGTCTCCCTTCCCCCTGCACCCGCTGCTGCTGCTGCTGCTGCTGCTGCTGCTGCAGCTGGAGGGGCAAGTGCTGCAGCTGTCTCCACAGAGGTAAGAAGGGACACGTAGTTCCTAGAGCAGCAAAGCTGCTGCGGCAGTTAGGGGGCCTTCGAAGGTGCAGCAGCTCTTGCTGCCAGGCGCAGCAAAGAGCTGCATGCGTACCTGCTGCAGTATCCGGGTAGCCGAAGGGGAAGTCGCTGCTGCTGCTGCTGCTGCTGCTGCTGCACCTGCTGCTGCTCACCTCCAGCAGCTGCTTCCTTCTGTCTCGAATCCCTATGGGATATACACCCAATCTACACAGCAGCACAAACAGTCTTGCAGCACCGACTCCTGCTGGCAGCAGCAAATCAAACCCGTTGCTGCTGTTGCTGCTGCTACCTCTGCTGCTGCTGCTGCTGCTGCTGCTGCTGCTGCTGCTGCTTCCCCTGTGGGGCCCCAGAAACCCTGATGCTCCTTCCCCGCCAAAACCACCGTGAGCAATCAGCAGCACAGGAACTGTTGTTCGTTTTGCTGCTGCTGCTGCTGCCGGTGCTGCTGCTGTTGCTGCTGCTCCTGCTGCTGGTCCTGTTGCTGCTGTCGGTGAGCCGGTGGCAGCAGCAGCAGCAGCAGCCGCTGCTGCTGCTGCTGCAGAAGGAAGACACAAGTCTGCACTTGGTGGGCTGGCCGCAGCAACAGCAGCTGCAGCAGACGCCGGATCTACACCCACAATAGCAGCAGCAGCAGCAGCAGCCGCTGCTGCTGCTGCTGCTGCCTCCGCGTCAGCTTCAGGAGCAGCAAGAGGAAGCAGACACCCAAAGTCTTCCTCTTCATCAACTGCTGCAGCACTCACCGACCCAGCAGCAGCAGCAGCAGCTGCTGCTGCTGCTGCTGCAGGCGTGTCTGCTGTTTTTCTTCTTTCTGCTCCTCTGATTTCTGTTGCTGCACCCAGCTGGTGTTTGGGTCGTTGCTGCAGCAGCTGCAGCAGCAGTGGTTGTTCGTTTTGTTTTTGCTGCTTCTGCTGCTGCGGTTGCTGCTTTTGTTGCTGCTGCTTTTGTTGCTGTTTCTGTTGCTGCTGCTTCTCCCGCTGCAGCTGCTCGCTGCGCTGCTGCAGCCGCTGCAGCAAAGCCCTTATAGCCGGCCTCTTCCTGCTGCGTGTCGCGACCTTCCAAGGAGCAGCAGCAGCAGCAGCAGCAACAGCAGCAGGACAGAACAGACGGGAAGCAGCAGGAGGGGGTAGAGCCCTGCCTGCTGCAACAGCAGCAGCAACAGCAGCCTTGGGTGTCATCTTGGCTGCTGCAGCTGCAGCTGCTGTTCCCGCTGTTGTTGCTGCTGTTGCTGCTGCTGCGTCCGTTCCTGCGCCTGCAGCACCAGCAGCACCAGCAGCAGCAGCAGCAGCAGCACGACGCAGCAGCCGCCTGCTTCGCGGGGGAAAGGGCCCTAGCAAGGACGGAGACGCTGTCTCCAAGCTGAGGAGACAGCCGCCAGGTAGCGGGGGGCAGCTGCCGCACATAAACTCGTGCTGCAGCAAAGCTCTCCACAGCATATACGAAGCCTGAGCGCCTACTGCTGCTGCCTCTGCTGCTG